TCAGAGAGGGGGTCGAAGCAGACCAAAGTCAGACCTTGGGAAGCAGATCCCTGGGGCAAGGAAAGATCATCCCTGTCTAAACCACCCTAGACCCGTGTTTGTCTCACCTGTTGGTATAAACTGCAGGAGCAACCCTCATGCACATTAACCATGGGGCTGTGGAAGAGCCTTGAGGAAGGTCCAACACACGCTTCCCAAATGTGAAGCCTCGTGGTTAGGGCGCTGCAAGGTGGGAAGGTGTTAGGCTTGGTTCTGGTCTCTGTTCCCAGCCACATCTCTGTTTGGACCAGTGCCTGTGGGGTACGATGCATACTGAGTGCTGGGAACAAACAAGAGGGGGCATGGCTGTCTTGCTCAGCGGGGACGTGACTGCCCTTTGAGTGCTGGCTTGGGGCAGTGAGAGCTGGTGCTTAGACTACAAGGAAGGGTTGTGGTGTGGACTTGGGGAAGGCAGCATGAATTCCTGCGGGATGCCGAGAGGGTGAATCACTGTCCTAGCGAGAACTAAGGAGTTTCTGACACTTGGCCTGGCTCTGTCAAATGATCAGTAATTCTTCTTGAATTAGTTGTGTGTCTGACCCCTCAGGCAATGCACTGATTGCATTTTTGCAATGTTTTGCCAGCAGGGCATAGAGCCAAGAGTCTTAGAAATTAATGTGAATGTTGAATTTGTTCTGGTCCCTCAACCAAAAAGGTGTTTTTATCCTCTGGGTTTGCTTTGTGTCTTTGTTACAGGCACGTGTTAAACACATTTCTTGCTTGCTTAATCTCATAGTTTCATAGTAGTTTGGGGTCAGAAGGGACCTAATTAGATCATCATGTGTAACCCCCCCGCTAATGGCTGGAGCACATGCTGGGATCACACAACCCCAGGCAGTTGTAATCTGAGATGCTGGTTAGGAAAGCTAGATCTGGTTGATCTGGCAGGAACTGATGATAAATGTGTAAGGTTTCAATAGTGGTGTCAAATAAGGAAAACCTGGCCCTGGTGACTGCATGGTATTGGGGAATGAATGTTGTGGTCTGGTCCCAGTTACCAAAAATGAGGAGTCAGTGGTGGCATTATGAGCAGGGGGCTGCTACCCTGTGGTTAGCATTTGGATTTGAAATGCACTGGTTTGTTGAGCGGGACCTGGGATGAGCATTGTTGTGCTCAGCACCGTGCATGTTGCAAGCATCGTCCAATCTGCATAACTGGGAGAAGCTGGGGCGGGGAGAGCTATGAGGGATTATTTCCCTGGTTGGTGAGATGCAGGGACATGCATGTGTGTAGGTGTGAAAGAAGAGGCAGTGAGATGGGGTTTTGTGCAGTAACTTGGTGTTCAGGCGCTGTTAAAAAGAAGGATTGGAGCCAATGGCAGAAGGCATTTGGGGCAATCTTGCCAGACCCCTGTCTTCACATATCGAGGCATGAAGATCCTCCTCAACTAGCACAAGCGGAGGGAGGATTGTTGACATTGTGAGGTGATGCCACTGACCCAAAGCTTCGTTTTTCCCTGATTATAGTTGGATGAAATTATTCCCCGATAGCTTTTCCTAGATTATTTTTTAGGGTCTGTGGACTCACCGGCTGAGACGGATGACAGGAACAACCAGAGTCTAAATAAATAAACCCCCAGAGACTGCTGCTTTCAGGAAAGAGGAGCTTTATTGAATTTGCATGTCGATTTTGAGGCTGGAAAAGGAATGAGGTAGGAGAAGGACTCTGACACACACACAGGGTTAATCACTCGTCACATGGTGCCTCATAAGAGTACTTTGCTCCATGCAGGGAGTGATGT